GAGACAATGACAGGGAGGGGAATTGACGGGGAGAGAGAAATTGACAGGGAGGGGGGAGTGACAGGGGAGGGAGGGGGAATGAGAGTAACAAGGGAGGGGGGGAGAAGAGAGTGACAAGGGAGGGGGAGAGATTGACATCCATCACACACACACACACACACACACACACAATCACACACAATGCACCCCTTACACACAAAGACAATGAACCCCTTGCACACAGAAAAACACACAATGCATTACACACACACACGCAATGCAACCCTTACACACAATGCATCCCTTGCACACACAGAAACACACAATGCATTCCTTACACACACTCAATACACCCCTTACAGACTCACACACTTCATTCCTTACACAGAAACACACCTTGCAGCCCTTACACATACAAACACAGATTCACACAATGCATTCCTTACACACAAATCAGGACATTCCCTACACACTCCATCCCCTGTGAACAAACTCATTGGTGGAAAATGAAGGTGGACCCTGGGACCCAGACCTTGAGCTGTGTAAAGGGCCCCCCCAAAAATGGAGCTGCTTCTCGTTCTCCCAGAACATTGATTTTTGTGACCACAGTTACAAACAGCCTCCAGAGATCCTGTTATACACCAGACCAGTGGAGCCAGACTGCAGCTAGAGCCATCATCATCCTCATCTGCTTGTAAGTAGGTAATCTAGTATATTATTCGTGGCACTAATCTCTAATTTACCTCACATTAAAGAAACACTATAGTCCCCAGAACCACTGCACCTTAATGTAGTGGTCCTGGTGTCTATAGCCTGTCCCTACAGGCCTTTTAATGTAAACACAGCGGCACTGCAGCACTAGCGTTAGTTAACATGGCAGGTCATATGGGTGGGGCATTGCGATGTCACGGGGGGGAGGAGGGGGGCGTCAAACTTTACTTTTGCCTAGGGCGGCAAAAATCCTTGCACCGGCCCTGGCTATCCCCGTATACTGCTGCCGAGTGGAGCTTTGCTTCCAGTCTCCTTTTACCTGGGTGACCCCCAGCGTTGTCTCTACATACATTACTATGGGTCGCATTTTTGACCACCATAACCCCTAGCAGACCCTGCTACCAATTTAGCAATTTACTCACAAATCTATTGGGTGAGCCCAAAGTATACTGGGTGTTTATAATGGAAGACTCAGATGCCTTCAGACCTCAAGGCAGTATTTGAATTTGACCAGATGATGCTGGCCTTCATGGCACGAGGGGGTAGAGACCCAAGGAAAGGGGTGGAGAAAGGGCGGGACAGAAGGAAAACAAAGGTTAATGAGCAAAAAGAATCAGAAGGAGCAGAAAGGTAAAGAAGGAGAAAGAGCAGAAAGGAACAGAAATGAGCAGGAAGGGTCTACAAGGAGCTAGAAAGGGCAGGAAGGAACAGAAGGAGCAGGAAGGGACAGAAGGAGCACAAAGGTAAAGTAGTAGAAGTAGCAGAAAGGAGAAGAAACAGAAATGAGCAGGAAGGGACATAAAAAAAATCAGAAGGAGCAAAAAGGTAAAGTAGGAGAAGGAGCAGAAAGAGTCAGCACGGTGGTGGAAAGGGCAGCAAGGAGCAAAAAGGATCAGCAAGGAGCTGGAAGGGGCAGAAAGAGCACAAAGGTAAAGTAGGAGAAGGAGCAGAAATGAACAGGAAGGGTTTGCAAAGAGCAGAAAGGGTCTGCAAGGAGCTGGAAAGGGCAGCAAGGAGCTGGAAGGGGCACAAAGGTAAAGGAGCAGAAAGAATCAGAAGGTAAAGTAGGAGAAGAAGCAGAAATGAGCAGGAAGGGACATCAAGGAGCAGAAATGGTCAGCAATGAGCTGGAAGGGGCAGAAGAAGCACAAAGGTAAAGTAGGAGAAGGAGCAAAAATGAGCAGGAAGGGTCAGAAGGAGCAGAAGGGAGCGAAAGTAGCAGAAAAGGATCAGAAAGAGAAAGGAGCAGAAGGGTGCAAAAGAAGCAGAAAGGTAAAGGAGCAGAAGGAACCAATGAGTAGAGAAGACCGTGTCAGAAGAAAAAGAAGACTGTGTCAAATGAAGGAGAAGAAAAGGGGATTGGAGCAGGACGGACAAGTGAAGTCATCCCTCCTCTTCATTCTGGACACTACATCATAAGGCTTTGGTACCTGGGCCAGGCAAGGAAACGCTGGACTTTCTCATCTCCAAAGGTAAAAAAATATCAGTATTAATGTGTTCACTTTTATTTACTGAGTGTCAGGAAGCACAGAGTGCCGTTGGGTAGGGGTGTTGCTGATTGGCTAGAGCGGTCAGCTGGCACTCTAAGCCAAACAGTAGCTCCCCATTCATAAAAAAGTAAAAAACATTTATGAACTGGGAACTAGCGACTGGCTTAGAGCGTCAGCTGACTACTCTAGTCAATCAGCGGCACCCATGCCTGACGTCAATCTGCACTTCCTGACACTCCGTTTCAGAAGCCAAATACCACTGACCGACCTAGAGATCTAGAGCTGGGGGAAGCCTTTGGGATTAAACCATTTGAGAGCGGTTTAACCTCTTTAAGGAAAGAGTGTGCCCAGGGACCTCCATTTCCATTTAGATGAAGTTGTTATGGTGATCAGAATGCTCCTTTAATTTGCTTAAAGGAACACTATAGTGTCAGAAATACAAACATGTTGTGAAAACACTATGTACGTATCCTGCCTAACACTATTTACCTTATTTCCAGCGTCACGACAATCTCTCCGTCTCCTTGCCTAATGTGTGTCCTGGTTTTTTATTTCCAAAATCTGGTCACCCTGGCTTTATGTGATAATGACTATTCCCCTCCCCTTCATGACACTGTATAAAAGGAGCCAAGCATGGATGTCATTACAATTATACCCCCACCTTCCACCCCCAGAAAAATTCCTGCGGACGCCTATGCTCGACCCCTTGAGTGGGTGGAAAGCATAGGAAAGAAGAAGCACATTTGTAAAAATAAAATTATATTTTTTTCAGTCTGCAGAATGAGGCAACTGTCTAATTCAAAGATAAAGCTTACCATTGGTTGTAGCCTCCCTGGGGCGCCCATGTGGGGATCTGGAGATGAGGAGTACCCTTGCTGTTACTCTGCCCCCTTTTATGACATGTGCATGTCAAGGTCATCATGCTAATAACGCCCAATCACGTAAATTTTAATGGCCCCTCGTGTTTTGGGCGGCATGTCTACTTGACTAATAAGCCACATTATAAATAGTAAAAAAAAATGGGTCGCAAGAGTATACTGAGAATGGGCAGCAGCTGAAATAGCCTGCCCTTCGGTGGGTCCCCTCTCAAATCTCAAGCTGGTGTTTGCTCATCTTGTGCCATTACATAGAGAACATCTCTGAAACATATCAGACTGGTCCCACCCATACGGGCAGTCCAGCAAGTTCTCTCTGCCCCCAGAGACACAGCAACCCCAGACGATACTTTCACCCTTGTTAGGCATCATCAGTGAGGCTTAGCTGATTTCTTTCTAGGCACCGTGAGCAAGGGGTCCAGGTCTGGATTATCCCTTTAACCCCTTAAGGACACATGACATGTGTGACATGTCATGATTCACTTTTATTCCAGAAGTTTGGTCCTTAAGGGGTTAAACTTGTGGAGAGCAAAAAAAATGGGTCGCAAGAGTATACTGAGAACGGGCAGCAGCTGAAATAGCCTGCCCTTCGGTGGGTGGGTATACTCTTGCGACCTATTTTTTTTTTTTTTTTGCTCTCCTGATGATGTCTAACAAGGCTGAAACGATCGTCTGGGGTTGCTGTGTCTCTTGTGAAGAGGGAACTTGCTGGCATTTCGGATCTGCACTGCCGTATGGGAGGGACCAGTCTGATATGTTTCAGAGATGTTCTCTCTGCAATGGCACAAGATGAGAAAAAAACAGCTTGAGATCTTTGGCTTTTGTCTCTCGTTCTCCCGATTTCCCGATTTGGACAAATGCTGTAGGAGGTTGAGCTCTGGTCCTCTAGCCTGAGATTAGTCTCCCGATGTTCCTATTAAAATATCTTTTTAAATCCTCTTTTCGTTATTATACCTTCTAGCACAATAACTACTACACCAGCATGTTGTACACCCCCTAGCTTTCTATCAGACTACCAGTCCTGTTACTTGCTGGTTCTCAGTAGAGAAGTCTGTGATTGGACAGCCACCGATAGTCTGGGTTAGAAGGGAAAGGGTTTGCAGAGACTTCAAGCAACAGACCGGCAGCTTTTGCAAACTGTTTTTAGTTAGACGCTAATGGAAAAAATGTGTGATTAAATGCATACATGTTTTCATTAGGGTATATCTACTAAACAGTTATTTGTTTTTTGTTGTTTGTCCGGTGGAGTGTCCATTAAAGGAACACTATACTGCCAGGAAAACAAACTCGGACTTGGACTATCACAGTGGGCTAATTCTCCCACCCATGTAGCTGGCAAAACGCTTGACCTCATTTTCTCTCATGCATGTACAGTATCTAATATCTGCAACACTCCATTTCCTCCTTCTGATCACCACCTCTTATCGTTTGCTCTCGAGTACCCCCTCACCCAACAACTTCAGCCTAACCCCCTCAACTCAGGAGGAACCTTAATTCTCTTGACCTCCAGCAGCTGTCAATTGATATTGATTCTCAACTGCTATCCATCACTTCCCTCTCCTGTCCCTCAATGGCCATTTCCACATATAACACTATCCTCACCTCTGCCTTGAACACAGCAGCCCTACTCCAAACATGCACCTTGAGGAGGACACACCCCCAACCGTGGCATACTAAATCCACACGCTACCTGCAAAGATGCTCCCGTTGTGCTGAACGCTCCTGGAGGATATCTCCCACTCAGTCAGACATTCTCCATTATAGATTCATATTGTGTTCATACAGTGCAGCCCTTGCCCTCGCCAAACAGTCCTACTTTTCCTCTCTCATTAGTTCATGCTACCGCAATCCCAGGTGTCTCTTTGACACCTTTAATTCTCTTCTTCGCCCTGCTGTGGCTACCCCCCAAACTAACCTTTCTGCCGATAGCTTTGCATGTTACTTTACCGACAAGATTGAACAGCTAAGGAAAGAATTCTCCCCTCCTTGCCGTTCTCTTTCTCAACCACACATAGATCATGCCTTTCCTACCCTTCAGACTTTTTCCGCGGCTACTGATCAAGAGGTGGCTGCACTTTTCCTTTCCTCTCGCCCCACCACTTACCCGCTCGATCCTGTCCCATCTCACCTTATCAGATCTCTCTCCACTAGTCTTGTGCCTTCCTTAACGCACATCTTCAACTGCTCTTTCTCTTCTGGCATTGTCCCTGCTTATCTTAAACATGCCACTGTTGTACCTTTCCTGAAAAAAAACATCTCTTGACCCGTCTTCTCCCTCTAACTATCGTGCTATATCCCTGCTCCCTTTTTCCTCAATGCTTCTGGAAAGACTTGTCTTTACCCGTGTGTCTCACTTCCTTAATTCCAATTCTCTCGTTGACCCTCTTAAATCTGGCTTCCGCCCTCTACACTCTACTGAGACTGTGCTTATCAAAGTTACTATCGACCTAATCACAGCTAAATCCAAAGGCCATACTAATTCTTCTTGACCTCTCTGCTGCCTTTGACACAGTTTAACATGCTCT